AAAAAAAAAGTTGTTATATGGATTTGAATGATTGTTTTGAATTCTTAGAATTTTGTGGATTTACAATGTACCTAAGTTAGTAGCAAGAAAAGTGAGCTTGGTTTGCGAAGCGAACCATATAAGATTGCGTAGCAATTTTCGGGGGTTGGCGAGCGTTAGCGAGCAGGGGGCGCAGCCCACTAGTATATAAATATTCTCACTATGCTGAGCGTATAACAGCTAGATCTAAGAGTTTTGTGTGGGAATTTAATACTCCAATTTTGGTGTTAAGTTTTTGCCACCATATTTGGTGTAGAGATAATCTAAACTTTTTCACAGTGTTGGTTCTAAGTGTTTCATTATACCAAGAACCAAAGATGGCTGTAGGAATGGGGAAACACGGAGAATAATCGTTAATTTTTATATACAGAATGTCTCATAAATATTGCGACAAACTTTTATGGGAAGTAGGGCACATCATAAGGATTAAGATTTACCTAGGAAACCATGATCGGAAATTTTATCGCATGCCGCTAAAGCCGCTTTCCTATTTTGAACTGTTTCATCGAGTGCTTTTTAACGTCAGGTACTTTTTTTTTATCTAAATTATCTTAACTTTCTACTTTCTATTAATAATTGTCAAAACCTGCTTTGAAATAGGTTCAGTATTCACTGTTTCCTCGTAATTTAATGATGCGACTAACTGGACAAGCTCGGCTAATCATTAACTTACGATAAAACAGAACCTATTTTAATGGAACACTCTACAATAACTAAACAAATCATACCTCTGGGGGTACTGATCCTGGAGTTTCTTTGTTTTCTGGATTAGTTCAAAATTTCAAGGCTACGGAGTTAAACATTAGTAGTAGTAAACCATAAAACTGGGTCGGCTGTTCAACAACGGATATAAAATGAAACATAATAGTAACATATCCGGGATGGCTCTGGGGATAGAGCGTTCAACTTCCAATGAGGTGAACCCGGTTCGAATCCAAGCGATGGCTGGTCGATACGAATCCGCATCTGGCTTGCACCGAACACAGTGTGAAGTGAATTATCTACAGTGGTAAACAGATCATAGGTTACAGTCCCCTTTCCGTCAGACTAACCGTGGGAGGTTGTCGTGGTCCTTCTGTCCATGTGACGCAAATGTGCGTTAGTTCCATCAAAAAGTCCTTAACGAAGGCAAATTTCTCCCAATACTTGATCCCTTGGAGTTCCCTTGTCTTCTGGATCGGGCTCAAAATTGCAAGGCTACGGAGTTGAACTTTAGTGGTCGTAAACCCAAAAATTGGGTCAGTTGTTCAGCGACGGTTGTAAAATAAAATAATAGTAACAAATACGAAATCCGCACCCGGCTTGTACCGACCACAGCGCTGAAGTAAAATATTATCAGTGGTATACGGACCATGGGTTACAGTCTCCTTGCCGTCTTTCAAACCGCTGGAGGTTTTCCTCAACAAGTAACGCAAATTTGGGTTAGTTCCATCAACAACAAAAAAAAAACCACGTCTGTAAATTTTTCCCAGTACTTGAAGCAGGAGTTCTTTTGTCTTCTGGATTGAATTCAAAATCACAAGTCTGCGGAATTAAACATTAGTAGTCGTATACCCCAAAAATTGGGACGGCTGTTCAACGACGGATATAAAATAAAATAACAGTAACATAAGATTAACATGAGGATAAAGTATTTTAGAAAAATAAAAGTTGGAGTTCAAAGGCACACGAACGATATGTCCATAATAGGAAAGTGTCCCTAGCAGCGCAGAATTACATTTCCGGTCATGGTTTTCTAACTAATTCTTAATCCTTATGATGTGCCTTACTTCCCCTAGAAGTTAGTGGCAGCATTTGAGCGACACTCAGTATATAGATATATAAATATATAGATAGGTATAGATACATTACGTAAGATAGATGTTGATAAATTTACAGATAGGTATAGATTGATTACGTAAGATATATAGATAAAGATTTTGAGAATTTAAACGAATATTTTGAAAATGTTATTATGGAAATGTCATTAGAAAAAGAAGAACACACTAAAAATTAATTTTATATGTTTATAGCTAGCCAGGGCAGAGTCAATTGTTTTGAAACATGAAAAGCTTGCATCTACCCATCCTTTAAGTTCCATGAAAATGCACAAAGAGATGATGAATTATCATAAGTCTCTTCCTAAGCTTCCAGTTCCACCTCTACATTCATCACTAGAAAAATATTTACGATCTGTTCGCCCGTTCCAGACCGATGAAGAATTTAAAAACACATGTAAAGTATGATAATCATAACTCATTTTTTTTGTTATGTTTTTTTTTCCTCCTACGTCATCTCACTGCCCTGTAAAAAATTTCCAGATTACGGAAGAAAATACCGGCCTTTTGGTGCCTATACTTTATTACTATAAAATCCACTTTTGACGTAAAATTTCTCTGAACAAAGAAAATCGTATACCGTAATTTTTACAGTGGTATTTACCATAAAACCACTGAATCACTTTAATTAAATATATATTACTTTAAAAATTACTACATATAATTCAAGAGCAGAAATGTATTTTATGGCAAAATAGATTTTACGGAAGTTGCCCGCATGAGGCTAATACTTCTTATCGTATGTTGATCCAGAATTTTTTACAGTATAAAAAATTTTTCTTTGGAATGAGCAAAACCATGAATAAAAAAGAAAACTGATAATTGCAACTAATTTGGGATAAGAGTGGTTAAATCCTTTCAGAAATTTTAAGATAAAGGTCTTAGTACGAGTTCGATACCTTCTCAAAATTCTAAGCATTTGCTTAAAATAAAGGAATTCTAAATATCCTGAGAATGTCGATTATATGAGATAAAATTACTACCATTATACGATCATTCTCGTAAGTTAAACTCAAAGCAGTCTGAAAGAAGCTCAAACATGATCATGAGCTCATGTTTGATATTTGTTTAAAAGTAGTGTTCATGGTTAACTTTTTAAACGTTCGAAACTTTCAAAAATTTCCTTGAAATCGGCAGAAAGCTGGAACTTTCGAGAAAGCATTTCAAAATATCGGGGCAGTAATCTTTAGCTTTATAAAATATATGCCGTTTGTGTTCTTTCGCCAAACATTTAGTAATTTCCCTGATCTAAATTGCAAAACGTAATTGAAATCATTTTAACCACGTGCATTGTGCAGAAGGAATTTTAAGTTACGTTACCAAGCACAAAAACGTATTTCTACGAATTGACCCAAAAGATTATCATTTCTAACCCGCAAAATATATGGGTTAGCCATAATCTGGTAAATATGTTCCTAATAGTTTGGTCAAGACAGAAGAGTAATCGAAAATTTGGACCTAATAATATTAATTTCAGTTTTAGCGAATTTCGCCAATCTCGAGAACTTTTTAAGCAGAGTAAAAAAATTCTCTACTCAATTATGAAATTCTTTGATCTTAAGATAATTTGAAGCGAAAAAATAATTCTTTATTTTATTATTTCCTTTAATGATAGTCGAAATGGTTTTGAATTGTAAGGTATACATTTTTTACGTTATTTCAAAGAATGTAATTTTATATGGTAAAAAATAAAATTTGAAGAATCAGACGAATAGTTCCTGAGAAATCTAATTTCAGAAAAGTTAGTTCGTTAAACTTCTAATTTTATTAAATTTTTATAAATTTTTAAAATGTGTATATGTTTGATCTGGTTTTCGTTGCCATTGTGATTTTTAAAAAATGGAACATCGTGGCATGCAACGGAGCTTCGATGACGCATTGAGTTAAGGCGTCTCTCACAAAACTGGGGAAGAGTTGGACCAGTGAGTTCGATCCTACAAGCTAACTTAACAGCAGGTGTCTAAGGCGCAACAATTAATAAAAACAAAACAGTCTCAATTAATAAAAATGAAACAGTATCAATTAATAAAAACAAAACAGTATCAATCAATAAAATTAAAGCAGTATCGATTACTAAAAATAAAGCAGACCAACGTTGATCTCAATAATATTCAACCATTAATAAAAATAAAAGAAAGTCGTACCAATTAAAAAAAACGAAACTGATCAACATCGATATCATTAATATGAACCAATTATTAAAAATAAAACAGAAATGTATCAATTAATAAAAAAGGAAGCAGGCCAATCTCGATCTCAATAATAAGCAATAATTAATAAAAATAAAGTAAAAATGTATCGATTAATCTAAAAAAGGAAACAGGATAATATCGATCTCAATAATATGCAACAATTAATAAAAAGGCAGTATCAATTAATGAAAATGAGGCACACCAACGTTGATCTCATTAATATAAATTACGTTTATTGTTTTGAGGTGGAAGGGGCAATGATCAAAAATATAAATTGCTATAAAATATGTATAAGTTATAAACTTTTACAATGCTGTTCAACTTAAAGCTCATTACCTGAACAGTGTGTGAAAAAATATTTAATGAACTTGATTCCAAATTTTGCATTTTGTTCATAGATTGTAAAAGAATTCGGGGCTCCAGATGGCTTAGGTGTGAAACTGCACGCAGCCCTCGTAGACAAATCTAACAAAACAGAAAACTGGGTGAGTGATATCTTTCTGAATTGGAAGCTAAATACATCTGCAAGAAACTTTAATAAATTTTTATTTTTTTCTTCAGATTCGTGAATGGTGGATAAATGAAGCTTACTTATCTGTGCGAGACTCCTTGTTGACTGGCTCTTCTATGGCAGTCATGGGAGAGTTTCAAGATTTTAATACAGATGAATCTCATTTGAGGTATTTCGTTTAAATTAGTTTTAATCAACTTGAAGTTTGTGCAACCTTTTCATTTCCTACAATTTTATGAATTGGTTCTTCAAAAAATATTATTCAGTGGAACATTAAATTTAGGAAGAAAAAATAACATGTTTCGTATTTGTCACCTTTAATTTTTATTTCTCTTAATCCTTACTAAATATGAAGACAAAAAAGTTGGAGTGTTGGAGGCCATACATTAATATTTCGCCAAGGAAAAAAAAGCCATAGAAAAATAACGAACTATTATTAAGGAGTTTGTGTGTGCAGAACACTAAAAACCTAATGAAATTTGAAGACATTTTTTATGCTTTCACGATCGCCTTTTTCAATTGGGATTCGTTAGATTTTGATAGTATTTTTTCCCTTTCTTGAAATGTTAGTTTGCGATCCCCAATAATGAATGTACTTTTTTAATTCCTTTTTTGAAAAGTGCTAAACACACTAAAGGAGATCATTTTGTCCCCTATATCCGAGGATTGAAGGATTTGATCCTTTTTAAAAGTTCGAATTAGTTTTGAAGCTCTTAAGGTTTGTTTTTTCTGTTTTACTTTGGTTTATCTATTCCTAAAAAGAAAACAAAAATGCCTTACACCTTGTTCGGGTACATCATGTAATTTAAATAATATTTTTTAAACATTTATTTTTCTTAAAAAATGAAATAAATTGCTGTACTAATTTATATTTCATCGAAGAGTTATTATTATTAGTATAAATGATGAAGGAATAAGTGACATTTTTGAATCCCGAGAATGAATATATATATATATGAATATATATATATGTGAATGAATTATGAATTACTTATGGTGGTGAAAGAAAATTTACGATGAAAAATTTCTCCCGTGTTATGGAGTCCTCTTAAGTTCACATAAAACATTTTTCACAAAAATGAGTTTTTCTAAATTCTCTACTTAAAAGGAAAAAAGAATTTCTGTTACATAGTTTCTTCCGAGAATTTAAAATTGGAAAAATAAGGAGAGCTATTTATTATCTTTTTCGAAACTTTACAACAACTTTTTGATTTTCGCTGGCTAAAATTGTAATATGATTGAAATTGTATGGGTAATAGCGTAGTTTAAAAGGCTAGAAATAAATGTCTAAAATAGCTTTTTAAAAATTCAGTTTTTAGTTATAGCTAGATATTTTTATAGATTTAAAGTTACATAATATTGTTTTAAAATTTATATCGCAATACAGAAAAATTCATTTTATTTATTTATATACTGACAATTTATTACAGATTTTCAGCTAAAGTTGTTGCTGCAATGTTAAATCTCAAAAGCCAGTTTGACAAGTGAGTTTATAAAAATACTACTTTCCTGACACAGAAATGTTGATTAAAGTCATTAAATAAAAAGGCAGAGGTTACTTAATAACATTTAATTTACAGAAACTCAGAAGAATTAAAAGGACCCTTCAAAACTGTTATAATTTTCATTCTAAAAGTATGGTAAAATAACCGACAAAAGTCTTTCCATCCAATTAACCGAAAAGTTTTAAGTAAAGAATATATTTTACCTTTACGGTTTTAAAACCGTTTACTACTAATATGGTAAAAAACGTGAATACAAAAGTATACAGTTTTTCAACTATTTACAGCTAGCATGATATCAAAACTATGAAAAAGAAATTTAACTTGACATTGGAGCCTGGCTTTTTGTTAGGTAATGGACAATGGAGTACGTAGTGGCTTAGTTGTGTTCTTTCAAATAAATTATGGAATTCGGTTTAATTAGTTTATCTGGTTGTTTGACCTATCGTTAGAGATGGGAAATAAACTTTTTCGTATTAAGCAGTTTTTTGGTGCTGACATCTATGCGTGAATGAAACAATTGGGGAGCGAAAGACACAGGAAACTCTTAATGTGCTGATGGAAATGGAGGAAATAGTGTGGTGTCAACACTGGGACTCGCACCCCCGTTCTGTTGGTCATGAGATTGACAGAGTTCAACCAGATTAAGTGAATACAGTTAATAAACGGTTTTTAACGGAGTTAACAGTTTGAATACTATTTCATTTACGGTTATTTGACTGTTTTATTTTAATATGGTAGGATAACAATTAAATAAATTGTTATTTAACCATTTTCCAAGAAATTATTAACAATGAACTGAGCTTTTGAACTCCTGAAATTACTTTCGCTCTTCCTTTCGGCGTGTTTCTCAATTCGAACTCCTTTCGATTGCATATTGGTTACTTAAGATTTTAGCTATGCGTTTTACTATTTTTAAAATTAAATTCATATAATATGCAAAATATACAAACTGTGCACAATAGACTTTCTCAATACATGTGATGTCATTGATTTATAGGTATTTCAATAAATTTATATACATAACGCTTTTCTTTATATACATTTCTTCATATGCGTACACTTTATCATATAAAGAAACCGTTTGAGCTTCTGTCAAAGTTTCTTCATTATAAATTGTATGTGCTTTAACATTGTCATACAACAGAAGGACTAACTGAAAGTTCAACTAAATGTTTTACATCGACAACTATTCTGAGCTCTGTTAACATTTTCAATAATTATTGGAGTTGCAAAGCTCCAGTTATTTGAGATCGTGAAGCTCTTTGTAGTCGATTCTTCGATTTCATGTTACTTTAAAAAAACGAAATAAATGTACTGACAGTTGCTTGAATTTCATTTATCATTACTTGCAATTTGATCCTTTTCGTCACACCAGCAACTACATTTCCAACTCGCCTCCCTTTTTCTAAAAAAAAAAGTTACCTCGGCTGAGTTATCTATGCTACATTATTTATTGATTGTGTACTAATATTACTTAATTCATCAATCCTATTACTTTTTCATCATATTTTTATTCTTACTTTTTTGCTCATCAGTTATATTTATTTTACCAATTCTATTGTTATTTAGTTCAACATCCTCAGTTTATCAGCCCAAATATTAATTACTTTATCTTTCCTATTATCATTTAGTTTATTTCTTACAGTATTTTGTTTAACAATATTACAGTTTATTTTAACTTCCCTCATATTATTTGATTTGTCAAATACATTAATATCAATACTAATATAAATACTAATATTATTTAGTTCATCAATCATATTATTTTAATAATTATCAGTCATATAAGTGTAATTAATTACCAATCATATCATTATTTCGTTTATCCTTTCTATTGTCTTCTGATTTATTAAGCATTTTATTATTTAGTCTATCATTCATCTTTTTATTATTACTGTTCGGGATACACTTACCTGCTACAATTACCTTTTACGCGTGAATTTTAGAACATTCCACCATTCCCAATTATAAACTTCAGTGCTTGAAGTAAAATTTAAGTCTAATTGTTAACTTTTAAGTTTGAAATTTATAAAAAAACAGAAAAAATGGAAGTAAACGAATGAAAATGCAAGATAAAATACCTTAATATACCAAAGGGCGTAAAAAAGAGGGGGGAAATAGGTAAGTTACTGTTAGATAACCAGAATTAAAAAATCAAGGAACGCATTTCCGGTAGATCTCTCTTCACAAAATTCATCTCTCTCCGAGGTTAATTGCTAACCGTTTTTAAAACTAAAATATGGATCTAAAGAATTAGGTTTTCGACTTAAATTATTGACAAAATTAAAATAAAAATGTAGAACATTTTATTTTATTATTTATTCAAACTATTCTGTTTTAGTCTTTATATCTGCCAAGGATATAGCTCAGTTTGTTTCAGTTTTTTGTTGCCAAAATACTTCGTAGGTTTTGTGAAAAGAAGCAAATTAGAGTTACATACCGTGAAAAAATCTTTCATAGGCATAAAAAAACAATCTGGTTGCAAGTAAAAGTCAATTTCAATTACCAATTAAACGTGACATAATCGATTAATGTAAAAACTAAACGTAAAGGTAAAAAAGTAACGTAAACGTAAATACTCAATTACTTGCCAATTAAACGTACCATAGTTGATAAATGCAAAAACTAAACATAAAGTAAAGTAGAAACGTAAATACTCAATTACTTAGTTTTGCTTCTTTCAGTTTAACAGCACCATTAAACTAATTATTTTTTTTAAATAGCACAATTCAAAGATATTGTTTTTAAATCTAAAAAATAACCAAAAGTATTCGAGATTTGTATATGCGAAAGCCAATGCGAGAGTAAGTATCTCTTTTATACGTACACATAGTGTTGATTTTAGATAATATCATTTTCAGTTTCGAGATACTTGGAATTCTACTTATTTAAAAAGGTGGACCAGGTAGTCACTAAAGACAGCTAATTAATAAATAAGAAAAAGGTTTAGTAATTTTTACTGAAAATTACTGTAACTTTTCTCAAAATTTATCACTTCTAAAAAGAATTATTAATAATGGAAACTTTAATATATTTTATTGAAAATTTTAATATTGACTACTTTAAATTTTAATACATAATTATTAAGGCCCAAATATCAGTAAGTAAAATCCAGTAAAACCGTTTAGTATATTTTTTTCCTTTTTTTTCAAATATTTTTCATTTTCAAATAAATGCGTTGTTGAAACATAAATTATTTAAATAATTCAAACACAAAATTTATTATGTACCGCATTAAAAATATTTTTTTCTTTATTTCTCATACAGTTCTACACTGGAAAAAGAAGTCATTGGAGGCCACCCTTTAGATATGACTAATTACTGTGATATGTTTGCTGGCTGTAGAATCCCTAATTCTCCCCGTGATTCTATTTTTTTAAGTTATTTAGAGGACGAACCACAGAACCACATTGTTGTTGCACATAAAAATCATGTAAGTATGAAATATTTTGGCCGATATAAAGTTATTTTAATATTAAAACTTGTTTTTTATAGTTTTAAATTTCAAAATACGATTTAAAAGTAATTTTAAAATATCTTCAAAAAATACTCGTAGATGAACAGTGTAAAGAAATCGTGCTGTTTCTCTTGGTTTAAAAAAATTTCATGCAGCCCCTGTATTATGTTTCCAATTTTACGTCACATTTTGTTTATACAGAACTATATTACTTAGGAACTTGAAATTAGGCATATGTTTAGTAATACGTGCATAATATGCGATGGAATAAAAAAATATCCAATTGTTAGTTCAAGAATTATCAACTAATAAAATTGTAATAAAAAAGCCTCGAGACGCAATTTATGGAACGTTTAAGTGCATAGTTGAAGTTTGAAGTGATGAAAGGGCCAATTTAATTTAAGAACTTAACACTTTGTTTTTAGAAATTCTAATTTGCTGGAAAGTTATTGCATTACAAGTGAACTGTTCTGAAATATGCATAACAACTTTGAAAAAATATTTTTGAGAATCAAAATTACACAAAGACGTGGTAAATAGCATGTCAAATTATAAATAGTATTTATTTTACTAATCCTTAACATTCTTGTACGACGACTGCATTTATGTTAGAGATTACGACTCGAACATCAATGAACATTGTTGTTCGTTTCCATGCAATTCTTAAGGGGGGAAAAGACATTCAAATTTAAAATTTGCATTTTTGATGCTTCTATCAAATAACCAGATATAGGATGATGTATGTACCAAATTACATGAAATTATATTGAAATTTTTGTAGATATTAATAAAAAAACTTTATACGCTATTCGTCGTTACAGGTAATAGTTCCTTTACCACAATTTACCTTCTTACAATCCACAAAAATTATTTTCCAAAATGCGTCAACGTATTAAAACACGGGAATAAAGCCAAGAAGGCTTATTTGATTGCTTTTGTTTTACGCTGTAATAAATTTTTTGGAAAAATGGTTAACCGTTAATTTGTTTGTTGTTTCAACATCTTCAAACAAAACAGTCAAATAACAATAAATAAGATGGTATTAAAACTGTTAGCTGGTAGAAAAACCGTTTATTAACTATTTTCACCTAATACGGTGAAACAACCAGAATTTTAACGCACCAACTAAACCCACCTAACTAAGCTCACCCAATGAAGCACACTTAGTTTTATGCAGCTGCGTACATAATATAGTCGAGAGGGCTAATCTATCAGTCTCATAACAGACAGAACGGGGGTTCGTGTCCCAGTTTTGATACCACAACATTTCCTCCATGTTCTTCAACATTTAACGAGTTTCAAGTGTCATGCACTCTCTAATGCCTGATACTTATGGTTAAAACCTAGCTCTAATGTTCAGTTAAATTCGTTTTCATAGTATTGATCACTTGATAGCTGTAAATGGTTTTAAAAAAAACGTATAATTTTGCATTCATGGATTTATTACCATACCAGTTGTAAACGATTTCAAAACTGCAAAGGTAAAAAATTTTCCTTACCGTAATCTTTATGGATAATTGGATAGACAGACTGCTGTTGGTTAATTTGCCATAATTTTAGAATGAAAATTCTAACAGTCTAAGTGTATATATAAAAGGCTACTATTTGAAAGATCTTCAAATTCCATCTGATAATCAAACTGATTTTTGTTGTTTTCACCTTATCTTCCTCAATAGCGATTCACCAAGTTCTGAAAATGCTTTTTTTTTCCTCCCTTACTTAAACTTTTGTTTTTCACCCATAATATGCATAATTAATTTGTTAAAAGGATATATTTATATCAAAGTCTACTAAGAGAGAGCAAAGTTGATATTTTTACTTTAGCTTAAAAACTGTTTTTTAATTTTTGATAAATTTTGAACGAAACAAAATTCGCTACCTCTACCTATTCTGAGGAATCTTTATATTCTAGAATATATGATTATGTTATATATAATGAATTTCTCTACATCCCGAGTTAATGCAAAACAATTGAAAATAAAATATAGTACAGATGTAATGTAAGCGTATTCAGAATAACTTAGCAATAAAAATAATAATTAATTAAAATTAAAAAAATTGGTTTTGCTCTTGCATTCTCAGTTAGATTAATTAGAATAAGTTTTTCTAATGGAAAACATTAAATATTTTCCATTTTTTAAGTATTTTAGCTGCAAAGTTTATGGCGATGATGGTGAACCACTTCACGAAGATCAGATTTATTCGCAACTTAAGAAAGTGGTAGATCAGTCTCAAGAACCCCAACTACCCATAGGAATACTTACAACTCTACATAGGGATAAATGGCTTAAAGCTTACAACACTTTGCGTAAATGTAAGTCAATTTTTAAAAACTATTTTATTTATACAAGGTCTGTCCATTTATGTGTCATTATTCGTGCTTTATTCACATTGGTAAGCGTGTTTGTTCGTGATTTCTACACTGTTTTTGGACAATAAAAAATAAGTCAATGATCGATTAAGTGTTTCTATTTTAATATAAGGCACATAAAAAAATAATCGTTCTTTTTAGATGATACGATAAATAAAAAGTCTATCTTTATTCCATTCAAAAGGCTATCTATTATTCTGTGTTGGGATTGCTCCGTAACAAACAAAGGTAGCTTCAAAAATATCATTAATACCCTTAATATGTACTGAGTATCAAAATCCACCCTTAATTTCATGTTTTTATTTAAATCTAGACACTTAGAAAGAAATATTTTTTTATATATTCCGAAATATTTTCCGATAAATAAAAAAGTCTATCAATGTTATTCAAAAGTCCTAATTTATTATATGTTTATAAGACAAAGTGACAACCGAAGACGGATTCAAAAATACCATTAATATTCTTAATTAAAACTGCATTTTAAAACACACCCTTAAATTAATGTTTCCATTTAAATATGCAACAAATAAGAAATATATATATATATATATATATATATATTTTAGATGATCCGATAGTTAAAAAGTCCCTCAATGTAATTCAAAAATATTTCTTTTTTCTACGTTTGATTAAACCTGTGACAACCAAATACGGATTCAAAAATACGATTAATATTCTTAATATATACTGAGTATCGAAAAACACCCTTAATTTCAGGTTTTTATTTAAATCTAGACACTTAGAAAGTAATATATTTTTAGATGATCCGATAAATTTAAAAGTCTATCAATATTATTCAAAAGTCCTACTTTATTCTATGTTTTGATGACTCAGTGATAACCAAAGACGGCTTCAAAAATACCATAAATATTCTGAATTAAAATTGCTAGTATTTTCATTTAATTATGCAGCACATAAAAATTATATATATTTTTTAGATGATCCGATAATTAAAAAGTCCAATGTTATTCAAAAATCTTTCTTTATTCTATGTTTGGATAACCCTGTGATAACCAAATACGGATTCAAAAATATCATTAATATTCTTAATATATAATGATTATTGAAAAACATCCTTAATTTCACGTTTTTATTTAAATATAGACTCTTAGAATGCAATATATTTTTTTAAAAGATCCGATTAATAAAGAAATCTATCAATGTTATTAAAAAGTACTACTTTATTCTATGTTTGAATAACCCAGTGATAACCAAGTTCGGATTCAAAAATACCATTAATATTCTTAATATATAATGATTATCGAAAAACATCCTTAATTTCACGTTTTTGTTTAAATATAGACACTTAGAATGCAATATATTTTTTTAAAAGATCCGATTAATAAAAAAATCTATCAATGTTATTCAAAACTACTACTTTATTCTATGTTTGAATAACCCAGTGATAACCAAATACGGATTCAAAAATGCCATTAATATTCTTAATATATACTGATTATCGAAAAACACGTTTTTATTCAAATATAGACACTTAGAAAGTAATATGATTTTAGATGATTTGATAAATCAATGTTATTCGAAATTCCTACTTTATTCTATGTTTCGATAACCTAGTGATAACCAAAGGCGGCTTCAAAAATACCAATAATATTCTTAATTAAAACTGCATTTTAAAACACACCCTTAAATTAAAGTGTTTCCATTTAAATATATGACACTTAAAAATTATATATATTTTTTAGATGATCCAATAAATAAAAAGTCTATCAATGCTATTCAAAAAGCCCTCTTTATCTTATGTCTGGATAAACCTGTATCAAACAAAGACATGCCCAACAGGAAATCTCACATGATAAGCCATTTTATACATGGAGGAGGAACTGATATAAATAGTGGAAACAGATGGTTTGACGAATTTCAGGTAAGAATGGTAAAAACTAATAAAATAAATAAATACTAAAAACAGAGCAAATTTGAAATCTTTAAATATCATGACATCATTTCTTATACAGTATATTTGTTTTCTTTTATTGTGCTAAGTGCAATGCTATTTTTTATTGAACTAAAAACATTTCCGTGTCTGTGAGAGAAGTTGTTTTATTTTTGCCCCTTGAAGCTCGATCTAAGAATTAAATATTAACTTCTTCAATATTGAAAATGTAAATATTTGATTGTTCGAAATCTTCAATGCGAGAATTATTTATTGGTATCCATTTAAATAAAGGCTATCCGGATTTAGGGAGAAATAAAGCATATAACCTTTTTTTCTTAAGTTATCTTCCTGTAACTTGCATTCATTTTGATATATTGAAAATTTCTTTTCAGCAATTGAAACTTTATGACCTACTAAAGTCTCAACTCACTTTTCTAACCTTTAGTTTTTAAATAACTTATGGAGATGAAAGAGAATTTGTGATGGACAGTTTCTCCCTTGGTATAGAGTTCTTTTAAGTAAGGGTTGAAAGGTTGTGTAGTGTAAAAACAATAAAATGAAGAATTTATGTGTCTGCCTAAGTGTCCCTCTTGCAGCTCCTCCTGTCCGCTAGAGTCCTGAAATTTTAAGAAATGGATGAAAGTGGTAATTTTACCTATCAATTCTAAAATTAAAAACTTTTAATTAGATCATTCGAGTTTTGATAAATGGAATTTTCTGGATTAGTTAAGAATTAATCATTTTTTTATATTAATATATTAAACTATAGCCGGTTCCATTCATTTTTTAAATATTTTAACGATAATTATTTAAAAAGGATTTTATTACACGTTACGTTCTTCAGTATTTAAATATTTATTAGTCGTTATATCAGATAAACAAAATGATCAATGTGAATGTGGTAACATTTATGGGTAGCATGCGTAGGCTACGTCACCCATTTCTGAAGTTATCTGAAACCATGCTTTTATTTTTTTACAGTTATGTTTTTGAAATGGATTTCTATAAAGCTGAATAATTTAAAAACAATGGTATTTGGAGAAAAAAATTAAGGCATGTATTGAAAAGAGAATAAATTTTAAAAAAATAGTACTAATACGTTTAAAAAAAACGGGGAAAAATTACTGTAATATAATTGACGCCAATGATGCTAAATTTATTTTGATATCAAATGAATTAAAAAAATTAACCATATACTTCTTAACTGAAATAATGGAGAAATGGTAGTAATTCATTTAGAAGAAACTTAAAAATCAAAATAATATTATTGACGCCAATTATTTTTAGTAATATTCATTACTGGTACTATGGTAATTGATGTAGTTTTTATAACCAATATATTAAGATAGGTACAAATATGCCCTTGTTAGTATATTTGGTATCCATCAAAATTTTATTAATACTGTTAAGTTTTAAAATAGATACTATGGATAGAGGCTTCCTACTGCCCCTCGAAAGTACCAGAGAAAATCGCTTGAATGTGGTAAATTTCGACTATCATTGAGTTGGTCTCCAAGAACTAAAACATGCCAAATGATAACGAATATAGTTAAATTTTATTTTGATGGAATGACCTACACTGTAAAAAAAACAACAGTCAATACTACCAAAATATAAAATATTTTTCATAGAAAAAAAAATTGTTTAAAGAAAAATACAGATTTTTTCTGTTCTTAACTGCTATCCGTTAAATGTTAAAAAATGTTTACGTGAAATATTTGTTTTTCAGAATTTTCTTTCTATATTAGACGATTTAAAGTTGTTTTGTTGAGAAAACAATTTTTTTTCTTCTGTTTTTCACTCTAATCATAAGCAGAATAAAACGGCAGTTCAAATTACAGGTTTGAATATTGAACCTGTAATTTGAACTGCCGTTTGAATACTAAGATAACTCGAATGCTTTTCAAATCATTTTGTGATTATTTTCTATACTTGCTTTTATGAATCCGAAATTATTTTATTGTTTTGAACATCGTATACAAAAACTGAGTTTCGACTTCAATACCAAAATGATACTATACCGGATTATTATGTTTATCTAAATCTATTTTTACGTTTAATTACCAGGCTATTTAAAAAGGATGGGTCACTACAGTTTTAAATGTTTTTACACTTGAATGTGATTTTAGTATGATTTTTAAGATCAAAGCAATTAATGATTTTCTTCACAAGAAAAAAAATCGAGATTCGGTAGCTCAATGGATTACCTAGGTTCGAAGCCCAGCGTTGACTGGTCGTACGAATTCTGCTAGCAGGTCTCACCAACCACATTGTTAGCGTAATTGTTTTATGAAGTTTTTTTTTTTTTTGCTAAAATAACAGAGTTCGTTTATTAAAATAACCGTACTTATCTGCTTAAAAAACAGGTGTCTGTTTTTAAATAACAGAGTATTTCGTAAATTAACGGTTTTATACTTGCACACCAACTGACATTTTATTTTCTTAAAATTTTAACTCATACTTTTACTGTGGTATAGAAACGTGTTTCTCTCAATATGATAGTATAAAGCCACATGGTAAAGCAACAAACCATAATAAATAAATAAAAAATATAGATTTATTTAAGCTTTAACAACTTTGTCTCGTTTTATTACCGGCGCTCCACAGCTGACCCAATTCTGAGTTTACGACAATAATGTTCCACAACATAGTCTTGTAATTTTGAACCTGATACCTCCGGACAAACTAGGCATCCTGAGCCGCGATGGCTCTGGGGATAGAGCGCTCACCTTCCAATGAGGTGAACCGGGTTCAAATTCCAGTCAATACGAACTCCGCATCCAGCTTGCTCCGACCACAGTACTGACGTTAAATATCCTCAGTGGTAGACGGATCATGGATTTGAGTCTCCTTGCCATCAAGCTAGTCGTGGGTGGTTCTCGTGGTCTTCCTCTCAATGTAACGCAAATGCGGATCAGCTCCATCAAAAAGTCCTCCACGAAGGCAAATTTCTGCCAATACTCGATCCAGGAGTTCCCTTGTCTTCTGGATTGGGTTCGAAATTACAAGGCTGCGGAGTTGAACATTAGTAGTTACAACATCAGGCCAGATTTTTTGGGGGAGCTCAGCTGTGCAGTACCTGTCAGCTTGTTGAGGATTGGGAACATATATTAATCCATTGTACAAATTTTAAGCACATTATAGAGAAATTTTTTCATTCAAAAACTGCCTATAAGTTTATAGAGCAGCATTGGTCAAACCCTAAAATAAAAAAGAGAATTGAGGAAATAATAAGAGGAATTCTGATGGCCTTTTGCTGCCTATTGTTAGGAAAGATACACTTTAAATCACGGCTTATTGATTTACCTGTTATGGTTTGATTTTTACTTAATTTTATCTTAAAATGCTTTTTGTGCTTTAATTTCATGCTTTTGTCAATCTCTGCCCCTATGTGATTCCTCATTTTGAAAATTTTAATCACTTGTGTTCCTGGAGTTTATATATATATATGTCTTTTTCTTTAAAAAAAAATTCCTGGAATTTGATACCTTTAGTACTGTTGTGCCAGCCGTAATTATATTCTGAGTTACAAACATCCTATATTTTCCATGTGAAATTGTTTCCTTTTATTAACTTTGCACCCCTACTGAAGATGCGACATCAATATCTCTTCTGATNATATATGTCTTTCTTGTTTTAAAAAAATATTGCTGGAACTTGATACTTTTAGTACTGTTGTGCCAGCTGCAATTATATTCTGAGTTACGAACATCCTATATTTAACCATGTGAAATTGTTTCCTTTTATTAACTCAGCACCCCTACTGAAGATGCGACATCAATATCTCTTCTGATTGATAGTGTTGTAATGTTTGTTTGCATTTAGTTTATTTCTAAGTAGCACTGTTTTCTGAGTTTCATATTTAATATTCTACCTATTTGTTAAAACTCCAATTTGAAAATTTTGAATATGTTTGCTTATGTAATTGAACTGTTGCGCTCACTTCGAACTTTCGGAGTGTCCCCGGATGCCACCTTACGGGGGCGGGACGGGGTTAAGCTTGTTATTAGTAGTCGTAAACCCATAAAATTGGGTCAGCTGTTCAACTACGGCTATAAAAATAAAAAAATAAAACTAGCCATCCTGGACAACTTTTTGAGGGAACTAACCATTAATTTACAATCCAACGGCCTTTAACGACTTACTCTCTTTTTTGGAGATTTTTCTCTTGGCTGTAACAGGTCGAAATTAGGATGCAAGTTCTTTATTCTTTTAAAATTTGTTTCCACTCAGCCACCACGATTCAATCTTTATTAACTGTTTTTGTATAGATTTTCCAATTTTAACTGTGATTTAAGTGTTATTTAGTACTGATTAATAGAATATTTACTTATTTTTCATCCCCTAAGAAGAACAGAAATTCAGCAATTATTTCATGTAAGTCCCATAATTTGCTTTTTTACTTTGCAGATCATCGTAAATCGAGATGGAACCTTTGGATTTAACTTCGAACACAGCATAATTGATGGTCAATTTTTTAGGAGATTGCTTCAGCATGTATTCGATTACACGTATGTAAAACTTTTTATAGAAATTGGTTGAACGCACGCTAACTTGCAAAATTATGCGTCCAATGACTATAAAAGCTAAAATGAGGCAAATTTTAGCAGAACATACTACAAATATTGTCGATAGATACTTTTATATTTTATTTGTATAGCACAATCTTTAAAAAAAGATTACTAGCTCTTTTTTAAAGCATTAAAATTGAATAGACAAAAAAACGTAACTCTGTTTTTTTTTTTCTTTTTAGTTTATGTATATCAAAGTTTAACGAATGAAATTAAATTTACTAAAAAAAATAAACTAGTTCAATCCAATTCAAAAGCCGTAATTTCTTCACTGCCTACTAAATAAATTTCTTTTGCTGTACAAAACTACAGATTTAATAAATTTCTTTTTCTGACAAGTAAAGCTTACTGAAAAAAACACGTACGCAAAACTTAATGAATCAAATTACGGATTAAATAGCATACACGTATATACTAAATTGAATAAATAGCTTCAAAAATGTTTTCATAAACTACGTGTAAAAAATTAATTGATTTATATTTAATACAATATTTTAATGGATTTGTACTTTGATACAATTTAAAGCATTATTACTTTAAATTTATGTTTTGAACTTTATTGCAGTTTTATTTTTAATAATAATTTTGAACATAGATGTTACTTGATTTTAAAAAATTTCGAAGCTGATCTATACGTAACTTTTTGAGTGCCTTTATTTTCTGTACTAAGCTAATAACATATACGATTTCTTAATTAACTTTAAAAAAATACTCTATTACCTATACTCGGGCAATCATAAAAGTCAACTTCAACGCTTTTTTCGCCAAAAATAAATGTGCATGAGGTCAAATATATTTGTAAACAGTTTTGGTTTCATACAGTATACGTAAAATAAAAAACACAAGTAGCAGAGAAAATAAATTATTGATGCTGAAGCATTGAAACTAGCAAAACTGCGGATAATCAGTTTCCACATTAAAGAAGATTCAAAGAATTGGCAGAAGATACTGAAGACCATTTTGTCTTCACCGGAGAGAAAGCCTTCAAAGTGATCTAGTTTAGTCAGGATCGATTAAACGCATGCAAGAATAAACAAAGTTGTCTAGATTTTAAATCGCATCTGTAATAATGGCTTGAGGTGTTTTTCCAAAGAGGTATAAGCTTCCGTTGTTTTTTTATTACCAACTAATAAGCAATACTAATTGATACCAATTGATAAGTTTTTATTGATAAGTTTTTGCCGAAGTCTACAAAAACGAAATTTCACCGAAAGTTATCGTGTCCAATCTTAATTCATATGGACTAATATTATTAGCTATGAATGGAGACAAATGTAATTGTTGTAAGCAATATGCTCTTTCGTATACTGCAAACATTTTCCAACGTATGTGCAAAAAAAATTTGGTTGATATCTGTCAAATAAATCTGTCAAAATCTGTAAAAATCTGTCAAAAGATTAATGCACCCTACACTATATGGATATTAATGCATTGCATTATTTTGCAAAGGGCATATACTATTGTATACTGTATTAATAAACTAGCCACGTTCCATTCCTTTCCTTCTCCATCATAATATATAGATTTAAAATAAACTAGCATTTATGGAATAAATATTTTAAAAGAGAAATATTCTTTGTCACTTTGCATTTGTTTTAAAGGAATAGAAGTGAGAGTAACAAGCATTGCCATTCGACTTCCGCTCCAGATCCAAATATGTTAAAATTCAATGTTTCAAGAGAGACTGTAGAAGATATAGAAGACGCCAAAAGGGATTTAAAAAGGTACATCCCTTTAGATATTTAATAAAAGTAGTGTTTTGAATTCAATTCTAAATCAGATAAGTCTTAAACATTCGTATTCAAGGCACATAAATGAGTTGGCAGTAACTGAAAATGTCCATATTTGAAAGTCCAACTCAAGAAAAAATTCTCGCACATTTAGAAATTTCAACCCATTGATATTGAAAAATAATCGATTTTTGTTCCTAAAGTTTAAATCAAAAGAAACTTTGAAATATTGTTATATGTGGCGATAGAAATTTTGAAAAATCCATTAAACCTTTATGCAACTATTTTTAGTTATTTCAAAGCCTAGAAAACTTTATAAATGATTAAAAGGCTTTGGGCAATATAATGGAAAGACACGTTTCCAATGAACCACCATTTATATATAGGCCAGGCATAATCATTGTGCAATCCATAATGAAACATATCCATTTAATTAAATGTATCAATCATTCAAAATTCCAGAAATGGATCCCACCGATTAATATTTCACTCTTGAAAATTTATTTTGTATCATAATGAAACATATTAAAATTGTTAAAGTTACTGAACTTAAACTCCAAATGTTAGGTTGAGTGAAAAGTCATTGCACATTTTTCCATATTTTTAAATAATGATTAAAAACCAATCAATATTATATGCTCCCTTTTGATCAATGATATTTTACTATCTTTCGGTAATCTTCATAGTTCCTGGTTCGTAGAATAACCGGTCTTTATTTGCGAAAAACTATACAAAGTGCTGATTTATAGCCTCGTCTGTATTCAACCTTATTAATTTCAAAGAGTATTGAAGAGAACAGAACAAGTGGAAATTCTACAGCGCGATGTCAGGTAAGTATGCTGGGTGAAGTAACACATCCCACCCAAGCTCCTATAATTTTTGACAGGTCGCTAAAGATGGATGTGGTCTCACGCTGTCGTGAAAGAGCACTAATTCTTTATGATTGACGACCACCGAACGTCTCTGGGTGATAGCTTTGTTCCACCTACCTACCATACATATCCGAATTTATTGTACCGTTCTGTACAAAAAAGTAACACCACACCCTTCCAATCTCGCCATACTGAGCGCATAACTTTCCTCCAATGAAATTCCGCTTTTGAAATTGTTGACGGTGATTCATCACCTCTTGACCAAAACCGTTTGAGGAAACAATCCGCGTTGCTGAAAACAATCCACTTCTCATCACCAATTATCATTCATTTCAGAAAGGGGTTGTTTTGTTCACGTTTCTTGAACTTATTGCAGACTTCATTCGTACCGTCAAATGAACTTCTTTAAGTTCATGAGAAACCCAAATATCAAGCTTGTTTACGCATCCCAGTTTCTCTAGAATGTCGTGAACACTTTTTTATTGATCTTCTATGTATCTGCAAGGGTTTGTTTGAATCAATGTCTTTATTTTACCATCTTTAATCTGAGTAAGTCTTCCTGATCGTAGAGTATCTTTCAAATCAAAATCACCAGCATAGAGTTTTGGCGTGGATGTACTTGTAGAGCATCGTCGCTGTAAACTTTATGCAGTTTTTCACAAGCTTAAAGAGCGTTTTTCCATTTACAGTTGTAAAACAGTAAAATGTGGCGAAAACGAACAGTTTGGTTTTCCACTTTCAACGCGCTGTAAAATACACCGAAGAGCCATTACATTATGACCCCCCTCCATCTATAACAATGGGGTCTCCCAGGTTTTCATGGTTTCTCGCCCAGGAACAATGTTTTCATGGGGCGCATTAGGACCCATAATCCTCATAGAACAATCCCTGACGTCTGTAAGTTACTTAAACATAGTTGCAGACCAGTTTCACCCATTCATGGCCACAGTTTTTCCTGTGGGGGATGGTGTTTACCAACAGGATAATGCACCATGTCAAAAGGGTCGAATCGTCATGGATTGTTTCGAGGAACATTCCAGTGACTTTCAAGTCATGTCTTGACCCCCAAATTCACCTGACCTTAATCCAATAGAGCATTAATGGTCCTATTTGGAAAACCAAATTCGTGCTGCCACGCTACCCCCTCACAATGTGAGGGAATTGCAGGACCAGTTGGTGATCGCTTGGTACCAGATACCTCTGACTACCTATCTGCACCTTGTGGAATCAATGCCACGGCGGGTGCTAGCAGTTTTGAGGGCTGAAGGTGGTCCTACATGTTATTATCAGGGTGGTCATAATGTAATGGCTCTTCGGTGTACATAAAACTCAACAAAATCGCTCAATTTTGTTCTTACAATGAAGTTTAAACTGTGAGTTATCAATGGCATAACAACTACTATTGCAAATACGTTAAGTATTTCAGAAACAGCACTTTTATCATTTGTTGAAAAAAAAGGTGCAAAGCCTTTTTACTCAAAAATAAGTTTACTTTTTCAAAAACGGAAACATTAATTTTTTCATAATAATCAACACTGCCTATTTCATGAAGAGTCCTTTACTGTAAGGATAGGGCAGAAATCCTCAAAATCTAGTTTTAAAAAATCTACCCAGTGATTTCTACCTTTCTCTTAATCATTAATAATAATCTCTTAATAACATTCTCTTAATAATAATCTAAAACGTTTCATGACCTCATTCTGCGGATTTTTGTGGATGAGAAAAATGTGTAAACGCGGAAGGAATCGAAATTGATATGTAGGTGTAATGAGTTAGTTTATAGGTGCAATGCGTCAGTTTATAGGTGTAATAAGTTATTATGAGTGCAATTATTATTTTCTATAATTTATTTACTAAACCGAAAATAATTTCAAGAAGATAGAACTAATGCTTTAAAACTTATAATGGTTTTACGATAAAAAAAATACATTGCTTGATTATTTATTCGTCTGAAATTATTGTGTAAACAATGGGGGTGTTGTTTCTTATAATTTTTTTACAAATTCAAATGTGTTAATAGTTTAATTTTTTTAGTAAATTTTTTTCAAATTATTAATTCCATCCTTGAATTATTCATCTTATTAACTCGAACTTGTTTCGATTCAATTCAACGTAAAACTATGCACCTCATATATCATTATATCAATATTTTAGTTTGCCTATTATTTTTCCTTTCCATCAAGACATGACGCTTGTAGCTTTTATCGCTTACTGAGAAGAGGGCACTTAGCAGTTTTTCAAAGTGTATAACTTTTCTTTTTAGAAGTCAAGCTGAAAAACGATTTCTATTGTATTATAAGTGAAATTAATATTATTATTATGCTTATTTATGTAGATTTGTAGATGATCTTGACATGAGATGTATGCACTTCGATAATTATGGGACAGATTTCATGAAATCACACAAATTGAGTTCGGATAGTTTCATACAAATGGCTCTTCAACTAGCATTTTACAAGTAGTATGCTTTCTCATTATTTAAGTAATATCAGTTTATTTTTACCTACATGTATTTTATGATTGCTATTCCATTTCTTAGCAAAAATTTTTAAAGGCAATTCATGTGTAATTTAATCATAAGTAATATATCTCAAAATCAAATTATTGATAAAAAAATGGAATTGCTTTTAATTTTTTTTTTGTTTTTTTTTTGCTTTTTACCCAATTTTTACTTAGTTCACCATATGATAATTTCACTTATGAAGGAATAACACAGTAGAAACCGAAAAGAAAGAAGGATTTTATAATGAATTTCGCAATGATTGCGATAAACTTAACACATTTTTTTTTATCTTATTGTACATATTAGAAATACCAGAATTAAAAGAATTACCTTGTATATAATAACATTTTTATAAATTGTTTTTTAAACTATCGTAACTTTCTGAACTCACAAGTTGAGAAAATTCATTCAACTTCGATTCCGTTTTTGATTTTTTTTAAACTGCATGAGTGTAGTTCTTGTTGTACGTAGAATTTTTTTTCCACAAAATGGTGTTGCTTAATGATGTTAGAAATAACTTTAGGTGGTGTGAAAATTGACTTAAGATAATGACCTAAAATAAGATACATTTTCTGAGTTTTGAAAAATAAGTTACATAAGTTTTAAAAAATTCAAGTTTGAATTTTTCAAAACCAATACATTCAATTAAAAAATCCCTACGGTCAACAGAATTTATATTTATTGTGAATGTTGCGTCTTGAATTGAACTTGTTACGAATTTGAAATAAATTGGTAAAAAATTATACTAAATAGAGATACAGCAAGTTAGTGAAACATAGTTTCGATTAAATTACTATAAATGTCTTGTGACCAATAATCCATATAAATATATAAACTTTTGCCACTAACTAATATGCACCATTGTCAGGTCCAGAAGATGCTTCTTCTCTTTCATTTTCAGCAGTCTGAAATGCTAGTCTGGCCTTTCTACCCTTTTGTGACTCCACATATGATTTTAGAGTAGCTACCTAGAGTAGCAGTAGCAGTCACCTTCATTTTGAACATAATTGTTAGCTTCATGGCCTACATTCATTTCTAACAGTTCCAAAACTGTTAATAACACTTTGCAACCCTCATTTAAAATTATAACACTTAAAAAAGTTTCAGTTTCAGCTATTTATATTGAAAACAAAATTAATTATTTTTCCTACGTAAATCAAGCAGATTGTTTCAATAAATTAGTTTAAAAAGATAGTATTTTACGTTTCCACGGTTAATTCCATGGTTCAGTTTATGAAACACAACTCAACCACTACCAGCCTCCAATGCTAATTACCAAACGAAATGCCTAGCTCTAATGTACAGTTCAATTTCTTTTTTACGGTTTTGAATCCATGCTAGTTGTAAATTGTTAAAAAATAAGGTACTATTTAAAAAAAAGGTATAGTTTTGTACTTATGGTTTTTTAACCATACTAGTTGCAAACTATTTTTAAACTGTAAAATTTAAAAAAAAATTCTTGACGGTACATTTTACGGTTAATTTGATGAAAAGACAGCTGCTAGATATTTTACCGTAATTTTAGAAAGAAATTTTTTAAAGCGTTTTGAAGTCTTTTATCACCCCTCTGAATTTGTCAATCATATGAATGCCGTGTAGAATGTTCTATAATGTTATCTTTTGATGTTGCTATTCTTTAGATTTTTTAGTTCTAAAAACTAATAGAAAAACAAGTCATTGTTTGATAATTTGTTACATTATCATTATGTTATGAACATTAAGTCATAATCCAGACATATAATGATCAGCGAAATAACTTAAGAGAGTTTTTTCATAGTATTAGTTGTAAACTAAAGCCCTTAAGAAAAACAAAGCGTGCACAATGTGGAAAAAAACGAACCACTTTGAATATCTATTGATGTAATTATCATATTTTCCCACACAAGGATTTAATCTTAATGGTTCGTTAGGGGGATCTCAAATATTCTAAATGGTTAGTGCAGACGATATTTTAAGTTACGAAATCAGACACAAAAGCGTATTTTCTCTAAATAGACATACCTTTTTTTTTCAATTTATCTAGACTTTTGGCCCCCAAAATAAAGGGGCTAGCCATAATCTTTGAAATATTGTCCAGATAGCTTGATCAGGAGAGTGGTCAAAAGTTTGAACCGCTTAATGTTACTTTTTCGTACTACGATTTATTTTAAAAACTTGAAAATTTTTGCACACGATTATAAAAAGATATTTCCATGGAAAAATTTGTTTTTAATTATTATTTTTTCATTATGTAATTTATTAATAGTCGACTTAATTTTGAATTGTAAGGTGTGCAAATTTTTACACAATTCCAAAGATTGTAATTTTATATGTAAAATACAAAATTTAAATGAAATCGATCAATTAGTTTCTGAGAAATTGCCAGAATTTAGGGATCAGAACTCCAGATCAGTAGAAAAAAAGGTATGTTTATTCAGAGAAAGCTCACTTTTGACTTTGATTTCGTAACTTCAAACAGCATGCCCGCTAACTAATTTGAGATCACCCCCCTCAAACCATCAAGATTTAATCCTAACCCGCGAAAACCCTGTCATTACATCAAAAGTTATTCATTGTGGTTAATTTTTTTCGTGCACACTGCTCACTGATGATGCAGAGCAAGGAGTCGCAAAATAATAAGTGTGCCAAAAACATCGATAAAGTGAGCCAAAGGGAGAGTTTGGCGAAGTTCCCTCCTGCTATAGGGGTTGTATCCATTTAGGAATCAGTTGAAGCGTTGCCTTGTAGTACGAAGGTTGAATCGATTAGATATGACGCCCTGGTGAGTTATCTTAGTTTCTTCCCCCCCTTTTTTTTGTGTTACTTAATGTTATGGAATCAGGAGAATTTTAATCATTAAATTTTAAATTAACTTTAATCTGTGTAATAGAATTTTAACTCTAATTAACATGATACATACTAAAGTAGTATCAATAGTTGTATCACTAACAGTGCTTAAAGTCATATCAGATTTTTCTCTTTCTCCTTTTTTCGTTTCAAATGCCTTAAAACTATTCTGTATTTTTCAGCTTAATAAATATGTAGTTTCATTTATAAAGGATCCATGGGGAGATTGGTGCAACGTATGAAAGTGCATCGACTCGAAAGTTTTTGTTCGGAAGAACAGATGTCATACGCTCAACGTCAGTCGAGAGTGTTGATTTCTGCAGAAAAATGCTTGACAAGTCAACATCTCTTACTTCTAAAATTGCTTTTTTAAGAAATGCTATTCAAACTCACAAGGAATATGCCCTTCAAGTAATATTGTTTTATGTATATGTTAGAATATTTTTTTTATCTATAAAGTTTCCCTAAAAATATAAATAAAATCAGCTGTTTGTGTATAAACAATATGGCGTATTTGCGTTAAAGTTACTAGATTTAGTTTTTTTTCTTATCACACAGAATAAATTTTTGTATCAGATTTAATATGACATCTGCAATTAAACGCCACACACGGGTGTCAAACCTGATTGGAAGCTGAATCGTGGCGTAAACAATTCAGGAGCCAATCAAGTTCGTCACTCACGCGTGACCTTGCTTGAAATTTACAATTTTTTTCTTGAAATTTACAATTTTTTTCTTTTAAACTAAGACTAAGATATCAGATTTGTTGAAAAATATTTTATTAAAAAAAAATAGTGGAGTTAAAAAAAAATAGTGGAGTCCGAAGTAGTGAAACTTCGTAATGTGGAAATGAAAATAGGAAGGGGTAGAAATTGATTTTTAGTGAAATCATATTGTTTCTTTAAGACAAACTTTATTAACATTGCTTACAATTCACAATTGATCGCATCTTTTAATTATCATTTTCGAGTGGAGAAATATCCAAATCTATAACATTTACAATGGGATTATGATAACTAAAGTAAGATACGAAATATTTGAGTTCTATTTCTTCAATATTTCTTACAAAAACTGCATCAATGGTAGTTCCCCCTTTGGTTGTTGGATCATTTCTACCATTTATCATTTCCAATCCAAATTTGTCTTTAAGGAAAGTTAATAATGTTTCAGCTTCAGGTAACGAGAAATTCACATTAAAATCTCCTGCTAAGATCTCAGGCCACCGCCAAAAAAGTTGCCAGCGCAAATGAATATTTTAAGATAACCTATTGACTAATTCAAAACAGGAATGCGTAATTTTACTAGGTTGCAAGGCAACCAAGCTCTGACTGTAAAACAGGTATACTACGCGCATGCGTTTCGAGTGCCACGCATTCAGCGTTAAACGTTTAGCGCAACCTTGTTGGAAGTTGCGTTAGACGTTTTACTTCAAAAATTCATGCATTTCATAACTTAATCATTCATTATTGTTAAGAATTATTTCTTACTTTTTAAAATTATCCCAAGTCGTCTGGTAGTTTATATGATAATTGCATGATTATGTATACCATGTAATAACTGCAACCCTTTTATAATAACATAAATTATTAAAATAATAAGTTTCTTTTTATTCAATGAAGAAATTATAATACATCATTAAGATGAGATATAAAAGTTTCAATATTGTTGAAAAATGTGTTTTATTCTTTATTTTAGGCAGTGAATGGAATGGCTTTTGATAGGCTTCTCTTGGGATTGAGACTAATAGCAAAAGAATCAGGAATGGATGAACCAGTTTTGTTCCAAGACGTTGCATTTATAAGAAGTACTTATTATAGATTATCAACTAGTAATGTAAGTAAATAAATTTAACTCGGCGTATATCTAATTATTTCGAACTTAAAAACAGCCGTGAAGTTTTTGAATTAATAAAAATATGAGGATTTGTTTTTTAGTTTTATTGTTAGTTTGAAGTGCTTTAAGCAATTTTTATTTGAATTTTTTTTAAATTTTAATTTAGATTTATTTCGCAATTTTATAAAAATCAGATATTTAAAATTTGATTTCTCAGGAATTATTTAAACGTTTTTGTTCGAATTTTGTGTTTCTACATTTAAAATTATAATCTTTAAAATTAGGTCCAAATTTGAATACAATACAATTTTTTTTCGATCATCATTGAATAAAATTTTTAAAAAATAAGTAATCCTTAAAAATTGTTTTTGGCATGGAATTGTTCTTGGAGAAACTAATTTCATAATTGGAATATCACATTTGAAAGCTTATGATCACTGATATGAAATTAAATTTTTGTAACTTTTCTGAGCAGGGCATGATTTCGTTTTCAAAATTAATTTTCTGGAGGTTAAAAATGCTATAACAAAATCAAGGTCCCTACAAGCATATTTTAAAGAGATATCGCAATACATTTTGTGAGTTAAAAAATTAAACATAAGCCTTGCTGTGTGACTTATTGCAATAAAACGATCACGGAATGGTAAATATTAAATACTCATACAGTATGAAAGTTCAAATACTCACATGGGCGATACATGCGATACATCGGCAGTAATAATATCGCATTTAAGATATCGAGATTTTAAAAGGGATGCGGAAATTTCTGGGACAGAAATAAGTGAACTGAAACATCACGTCAACTCCTAAAGAAATCTCTAAGAGAATACTGCAAAAAAATGTCTTAAGAGCTTGTCAATATTTCACGGCCTCATAATATACTACAAAACATTTACTTGTTTATTTATGAAATTGTTCTACAAATCTTTCGACTTTGACTCTCATATACTTTCGATTTCTTCCGATATATATTATAATGTTCCATTTAATTCACTCAATAATATCCATACGCCCTTTTATAGCCTTGAATGACAAAATATCTTTTTTAAGTGGTTAGATTTCAATTGAATATCCATTTTTTTATAAAGATACATATCAGAGTTGACCGTTGATTACAGTAATCGATTACAACTGTAATTGATTACAGATAATTACAGCTATGTAATCAATTACTTGTAATCACGATTACAAGTAATCAATTACTTGTAATCGTGATTACAACTTTCAAAAAATTTTGATTACAGCTGTAATCATGATTACAATTTTGATTACAGTAATCAATTACTTGTAATCATGATTACAAGTAATTGCGATTACAAGTAATCACAACAAAAACGATTACAAGTAATTATGATTACAAGTAATCAAAATATATGATTACATGTAATCATGATTACATGTAATTTGATTACATGTAATTGTGATTACTTGTAATCAAACTATACGATTACAAGTTATTACGATTGTATACTATAGTCAAATTTTTTATGTAAGTATTCATGTGTTTACATATTTTTATGTACATAGAATGTACGCACGCATGAACGTACAATTTGCGATTCCTATACATACAATGTATGCACAAACGTTGTTTGTACGTACAATATTCATAATTATATTGTAATATACTTAATGCAATGCGCATATGCTTAGTACATATAATTATGCATTTATGATACATGTACGCATGTATGTTAGTTTGTACAAAAAGGCAATGTTTTGTATCTTTGTATACATAGACAATGTATGTATGAACGTATATGAAAATAATGTTTATGCGTTTGCATGCTTTTATGTACTTAAGTGCATATATTGTATAAATTTACGATAATAGCACGTATATACAATGTACGTTTGTATATAAAATTGTACGTATTTGCGTACAATATGTAAAAATGTTATTTAAAGGTACAATATATGCACATAGTTGCGTAAATAAAATGCGTACATGTATACATGCATATTTATATGTACATCGATATATGTGCACGCAAAGTATGTACTTATGTACAACTTACGTATGTACTTGTATAACTACATACTTTGTTAATACTTATGCGCATGTAATGCATGGATGTACAAAAAAATAGTTATATGCACAATGTATGCATGTGCATACAACGTATACATGTACATAATTACAAGTAATGTACAAATACGTGCGTACATTTAAATATATGTAATTACAATATACACATACATTGTGCATACATTAAAAAAATTTATATGAGTAAAGTTATTAAAATTTGTTTTAAAATTATTCTAAGGTATATGAAACTCGACCTCATATTTTTTAGAAAGCAAACGATAATTTTATTTGGAATTTCTAAATATTAATTCCACACATAAAATTTACCGTTTTTCTTACCATTTAAAAAATTTCTATGAATCATGCATTATGTTATAAAAAAAATAAATCTGTATTGTCAAACATTTCATGAAAATACCTGAAAATAATTTTTTATTCAGAGAATTTCAAAATGATATAGAACAATTAAAGCTGAAAACTAAATTTAAATATCGTTTGATTTTGTCATTTAACTTGCTTGAGTCATTAAAAGTTAACTTACATGCATTTTATTTATTGCATTGTACACATATTTAGACATAAATGTAATGTACATATGTATACGTGTAATGTATGTACGCATGTACAATGTATGTACATACATTCATGTATTGTACGTGCATATATAGTACATATGGATATGCATACATGGAACATACGTGTATTGTACATGTGTGGATACATTCATTGTACATATATACATTGCACCATATGCATAGATAGGGATAGCATGCATGTACACATGTAAAATTTGTACGAAAGAATTATGCCCAATATATTTATGCACATACGTACTGTATATGTACACACATATGTACATTATATGAACATTATATGTTCATTTCATCATATGTACATTATATGAATATACATCTGTACGCTATATGTATATACATCTGTACAATATATGCATCTCAAATGTGTGTATGTACGTACGTTATGCATGTCGAATGCATGTATGAATATATGTGAAATATAAATACGCCCAATGTACGTACAATAGTTCACAAATGTATTATGCATATTTGGATACTTACATTGAGCATGAACATATTATGTACATGTACATAAATACACTGGACATGCATATCATGTACATGTATACATACATATATTGTACATCCTACAGATATACCTATATTGTACATGCATACATATATTGTACTGTTCATAAATAAATTGCACATACATGCATGGGACATACATTGTACAGACAATGTATGTATGTTCGTACAAACACAAGTACTTGTATATACATGCGTACATGAACATAGATATACATTTTACATACACAAATATTTGCATAAAATGCATATATTCATTGTGTATAAATGTACATGCCTACATTGTTTGCACATACATACGTAATTATTATCTATATACATACGTACATATATTTTATACCTACAATATAAGTGTATGTACATGTGTGTGATACTAAAATGTCTGAACATATGCACTAGATAAAATCATATGTACATACATTTCAGTTACATTCATTTGTACGTATACAAATACGTACAAAATGCAGTACATGTTAATACGTGCAAAATGTATCATTATAAAATACATTCTACTATCTACTGTAAAATATAATCATTTATAAGAATACAATAGTCTTGTAATCGTGTAATTAGATTACATGTAATCATAATTACATGTAATCAAATTACATGTAATCAAATTACATGTAATCATATATTTTGATTACTTGTAATCATAATTACTTGTAATCGTTTTTGTTGTGATTACTTGTAATCGCAATTACTTGGAATCATGATTACAAGTAATTGATTACTGTAATCAAAATTGTAATCATGATTACAGCTGTAATCAAAATTTTTTGAAAATTGTAATCATGATTACAAGTAATTGATTACTGTAATCGACTATGTAATCATGATTACAGCTGTAATCAAACTTTGTAATCACGATTACAAGTAATTGATTACTGTAATCAATATTGTAATCATGATTACAGCTGTAATCAAAATTTTTGAAAATTGTAATCATGATTACAAGTAATTGATTACTGTAATCAAAAAATGTAATCGATTACATTTTTGGCCAACTCTGATACATATTAGATAGAGATCTATTAACGATACTTTCTTACCTTTCTGAAACATTTTTTGCATTGATATAATTATACGCAAATGAATTATATTTTCCGTCATAATTGCTCGAATGAAATTCTCTTGAATTTAATTCTTTTTCTAGATTGCAATCAGAGCAAGAAATTGTGGAGGCTTTCCAGTTTTAGTTCCAGACGGTTATGCATGTGCTTACAATCCAAAGCCCTCCTTCCTTACATGCGTCATTAGTGCAAGTAATACCTGTCCAAAAACTAGTTCAGATGATTTCGAAACAGCTATGACTGAAGCACTTACTGAAATGCACAGCGTCATTACAAAATCTTCAGTTTGAAAAAAAAAAACTTAGATTAGAAAGGACTCTTTTTTACTTAATATATTTCCTTCCTTATAAACAATTTTTTCTCATTTTGCATTAAACATTACTTGGTTAAAAGGAGGCTCAATATTTGCACAACCAATAAAATGGAAACTAAATTTAAAAATCATTTTTGTTCATTGCGTTACTACTAAGTTGTTACTAAACTGCATAAATTGCTGCTATTACTACAATTGCAACAATTTGTGCAATTTGTAATTGTTACTAAACTGCATAAATTGCGCATAATGTGTGAAAAAGAGGTTTTCAAATTATATTGCAATTATATTATTAATTTTAGAAATGCCATTATTGTTGAAACTGTAATAAACGAAGAATTATTAAGTTAGTTTAAATTATTTAAATTTTACACTGCGTGGAGAAAAAAAATTCTGACAAAATTACCGTGCTTTTATGGTAAGAGTTAGAATATCACCACCCAGCACAAGCGCCAAGCAAATCTGACTCTCAGATACAAGGCCCCGAGTCACTCTCGACTGAGGGCACCTCAATCACGCCGACAGTAAGAGGTGACATGTGAGCAGTTGAGGCACAAATTTGAGACTCACAGGGCGGCAGCGTCACACAGACTACAGGTTCGGTCAACAGCAGGCAACCACCACCCCGCCACCCACTGAATGGTCCTTAAATCGGACGCCCTTCGAATTTTCTTCAATAGCAAAATATAATGCAGTTTAATGAGAATTTGAAATTACAAAATTTAAATTTAATTTTCAAAATACAACATTTAAATGGAGGCGTCAATGGACTGCTCAAATGAAGTGGAATTTTTTTTTAAATCTGGCCAGAAATATCTTAGATGGTTGCGACTCTAAGACACGTTCTTTTATTCTTCTTAGTCTATCCGGCTTCTAAGTTATTTCTGTAATCTCTGCTTACAGAGAAGGACTTTTCTAGGACACTGCGATTAGTTAATATCCTCGTTCTTCATTTTTCTTTGGACGCCTCGCAATTTGCGCAGAGCTTATTTTCCAAATGACGCCCGCTCGTCCCACAGTTTTGCAGATTTCATTATTATTGCATTCTCTCGCCTTACGGCCATATTTGCAACATTTGTAGCACTTCAATAGCCTCAAGTGCTCTTTGGTCGTGACTCGAGTCCATGCGACATTGAATTTTGGTTGTCTCGGGACCTTATTAGACTCTCTGAGTCGGCTGTCAGAACCAAATAGTCTTCTCTTTTCGTTTTGATTGGGTTCTTCACCTACTTGTATGGTGAAGTCATATACAGTAAAGAGCCATAATTCTGCCAATTAAACTAAAACCTACGTTATTCAAATTAATCATTGGTAAATATTCCGCTCTTTGTGGTAACAGCTTACCTGAAGTTCTGGTTTTCAAAATTATAGTTATTATCACTGACTTAATAAAATATTCAAATTTAAAAATCTATTGGTAAATCTATTGGGTAATTTCAACTATCTGATGTTTATGCCTTTCACCAAATTGGATAGTAATGCATTATTTACTTTCAAACAGTTTACTTAAAATGGGGGTTTATTCAAATGGTTGATAAGAGTTAGGAATATAAATAATTAACTGCCGCCCCCCTGAAATATTTTTAAAGTATGACAAAGGGAAAAATTGATCTGGCTGATACTTTCAAGAGTTTCAAAAATACTAAACTCTAATAGCTGACTATATGTTTTATGCATTTTTATGGGGGTAGTGAGATTTCTTTATTTGTTCACTTATAAACAACTTTCTGAGAATATTGTATTTTAAAGAAATAAATGTTTACCTTGAATTATATGAAACTTTTTACACTTAGTGGAATGAGAAAAATGTCTTAAATTAATAGATAAGTGGGTTTCTTTGTAAAGAAAAATAATGGCTTAAATTCAATTTTTAATATGAATAACAGACAGCACAAATTTGTGAAATACATTCAGAGTTATCGCTGGTTTCGATCCCACTACATCTACACTTCAGAGGGTTTAGCCGAACAACGATAATGCACGCAAGCAAAGCCCCTAGAATTCATTGTTCGCTCGTTCGGCTTTACCCTGTTCCGCCCCTATTTCGGGGCATGCAGGGAATACTGTTGAAGGATCGGTTTAGGCCAGATCTTCCATTCTGTTTTCAAAAAATCTTTTAAAAATCTCTTCAATTCCTTTGTTTATTTTCTTTTGGTTCCAGTTTCTTTTAATGGAATCAAAGTTGAAATTTCTCGGGAAAAATCTGATTCTTAAATCATCATAAACAGGACAGACACTAAGTATGTGTTCGATATCTTCATAAGTTTTACAAACTCTGCAGTTCGGGTCTTTCCCGAGCAATTTTGACTAATAACTACCTTGAGCTGAATGGTTAGTTAGAAATTGATTGATATAGAAGTTGGAGTAGATTTTTCGATTGCTGACTTTTGGGATAAATTGGTAAGTGTGTCTACCTTTTGTAACATCACTATCCCATCTTTGCTGCCATGCTAAAAGGTTATTCTTAATAAGTTCTGTTCTTGTTGTCTCTTTTGATGTATGTCAACTAGATCTATTGTTGATTTTTGACAAGCTAATTTGGCCTGCCTATCTACTTCCTCATTGCCCTCATATCCTTTGAGGGCTTTAATCCAGTGGAATTTAATAATATATAGTAGTGGAATTTAGCATTATAAGTAAAACAACCATACATTTTTGAGAGCTTCATTGTCCTTCCACCAAACACTCTGGCGCGTAGAGGTTGCGGGTTCAATATATCTGCGATGTCTTTCTCATTTTTTGTGCAATCTGTTCTTCAATTTAAAAAAAAAGCGACAATTCCTCCTTTACTTTAAGCACGTAAGCTTAAATATATCTAAACACAATTTCTTTATTGTCACATATCCAGTCTTACGGTGGAATTCGAGCCAGGTTCCTCCATTTCAAACAGTGAATGGTTTAAAGGGGGAGACTTCTCTCCCAAGGATCTCCTGTAAATGAGTAATTTTAAAAAAATTATATTTCAAGTATTTATTTATTGTTATACATACATATGGAGGCTTATGTGTTCATTACAAAGAATGATTTATTATAAGCCCTGCTAAATTGAAGAACAGATGCAAACATGCATTTTTATAGATGTATAAGATGTAAAGTTAGCTTAAATCTTGCATAAAAGGGAAAGGTAGCTGAACAACAATAAAGTTCGCAAGCGATTACTAAATAAAATATAGATAATTAAACTGAACATTTTTGCGTTATCTCAAATTATATTAGTTCTGTAAAATTTAAACCTCATTTGGTAAATTTACCAAATTTTACTTAATTTGCAACCATACAACTGGATAATAAAAAAAAAGAGCTGCGATAAGAAAATACAATAATTTTTGGTGCTCTCGTAGAGCCACAAGCTATTTCTTTTTCTCTATGTGTAATAATGCTTTCCGTTGCTTGTTATATTTTAATAAATCTTATTACAAATTGATGTCGTGAAAAGTTTTTTTCTTTCGTTTTCATATATATATATATATATATAT